CCTATATACTGCAGCAGTTATCTGGTTGATGTGTGCTTCCGGAGACGTGCTCGGTGTTATACTTACCCTGAGATCTTTCTCCTTGAGCAAGGTTTGCAGTCTTTGGCCACCTAACCTACATTCTGTCTGCGGTCTTCTTTGCCCTTCCCCACTCTTCATGACTTTACATTTGGCGGGGTTAAATTCGAGTAGCCAGTTGCTGGATGACGTGTCCAGCCTGTCCAGGTCACTTAGTAATCCTGCCTCATCCTCATCTGATTTGATTCTTCTCATTAACTTCACATCGTCTGCAAACAGGGACACCTCTGAGTCTATCCCTTCTGTCATGTCATTCACTTATACCAAGAACAGCACTGGTCCTAGGACTGACTCCTGTGGGAACCCGCTCATCACAGGCGCCCACTGTGATACCTCATCATGTACCATGACTCATTGTTGCCTCCCTGTCAGTTATTCTCTGATCTGTTTCAGTGCCCTTCCTGTTATGCATGCCTGATCCTCTAGCTTCTGCACTAATCTCCTATGGGGAACTGTGTCAAAGGCCTTCTTGCAATCCAAGACAATGCGGGCAACCTACCCCTCTCGTGTCTTACTTCCGTTACCTTGTCATAAAACTCCAGTAGGTTTGTGACACAGGATTTGCCTTCCATGAATCCATGCTGATTGTCATTTATAATCTTGTTCCGTTCCAGGTGCTCTACCACTCTCCTCCTGATAATCTTCATGACTTTGCATACTATACATGTCAGTGACACTGGTCTATAGTTTAGTGCCTTGTTTCTGTCTCCTTTAAAAATGGGGACTACATTTGCCATCTTCCATACCTCAGGTAGTTGCCCAATTTCAAGGGATGTGTTGAAGATTGTGGTTAGTGGCACACACAGCATCTCTGCTCCTTCTCTGAGGACCCACAGGGAGATGTTGTCTGGTCTCATCGCTTTTGAAGTATCAAGGTTATTGAGCAGCTTCTTCACCTCCTCCTCGGTTGTGTGTATGTCATCCAACACTTGTTGGTATAGTCCTTCTTGGTGTACCCCTCTGTGCTGACTTCCCAGAGTCCTTCCTGTCTCCACTGTAAATACTTCCTTAAATCTCGTGTTGAGCTCCTCACATACCTCTTGATCGTTTCTTGTGAGTTTCCCACTTTCTTTCCTCAGCCTGATCACCTGGTCTTTGTTGTGTTCCTCCTTATGTGGCTATACAGCAGTTTCGGGTCAGACTCGAGTTTGGATGTTATGTTGTTTTTGTGCTGTTGTTGGCCTCCCTCCTTACCTGTGCATACTTGTTTCTGACTCTTCGACTAATCTCCTTATTTTCCTGAGTCCTTTGCCTTCTGTACTTTTTCCATTCTCTAGTGCACTTAATTTTTGCCTCTCTACACCTTCGGGTAAACCAAGGGCTTGTTCTGGTCTTCCCAGTATTTCTGTTGCCCTTGGAACCAGTCTTACCTCTGCCTCCTTGCATTTTGTTGTTACGTGTTCCATCATCTTGTTTACTGTCATTCCTACCAGTTCTCTGTCCCACTGAACCTCCTGCAGGAAGTTCCTCATACCTGTTTAGTCCCCCCTTTTATAGTTTGGCTTTTCCCATTCAACTCCTGTTACCCTCTCCACTTGTAACTCTACTATGTATTCAAAGCTCAGAACCATGTGATCACTAGCTCCATGGGGCCTCTCATGTGTGATGTCCTCAATGTCTGAACTGCTCAGGGTAAACACAAGGTCCAGTCTTGCTGGTTCATCCTCCCCTCTCTCTCTCTGGTAGTGTCCCTAACTTGTTGATGCATGAGGTTTTCCAGTACCACATCCATCATCTTGGCTCTCCATGTTTTGGGACCCCCATGTGGCTCCAGGTTTTCCCAATCAATCTCCCTGTGGTTGAAATTGCCCATAACTAGTAACTTTGCTCTGCTCGAGTGAGCTCTCTTGCCACTTCAGCTAGTGTGTCCACCATTGTTCTGTTGCTCTCTTCATATTCCTCTCTTGGCCTCCTGCAGTTTTGTGGTGGATTATACATCACTGCAATGACTACCTTATGTTCCCCAGACTGAATTGTACCTACTATGTAATCCCTTTCTCCAATCTCTTCCATGTCTTCCATTTCTTCAAATCCCTATCAGTTTTTAATGAGCAGTGCAACCCCTCCTCCCCCTCTGCCCCTTCTATCTTTCCTCAGGATCTGATATCCCGGTGGGAAGATTGTGTCTGTTATTGTCTGTGAGTTTCATTTCTGTGACTGCTATTATGTCTGGGGACTTCTCATTGATTCTTTCATGCCACTCCTCATATTTATTTGTTATTCCATCTGCATTCATGTACCAAACCTTCAATTTCATTTCTAACACTGTGGTCCTGGGAGAATATTGGGGTTGAGGGAGCGGGAACCCTGGTGGGGGCCTATAGGGGGTTGCTGTAGGGGTGGGGTTTGTGATGTGGGGGGTGGGGACAGAGGGAACAGTGTATGGGTTTTGGTTTAGATTGTTCAGCTGCTTTGGGGTTGTCATGGTTGGAGTTCTTCTGTGGGTGTTTCTGGAGGAGGGTGTGTTTGCTGTTCCACCTGGGTCTGGGTTCTTGTGCTCGTCTTCGTCATCGCCTCTCATTCCTCCTTTCATCTTTGCCCTCTCTTTCAGTATCATTCTTTCTTCTTGTGTTCTGTTTCGATTGAGGTACACTCTCCGGTACTCTGGTTTGTCCCTCAGTCATGCTTTCTCCTGCAGAATCCTGGTTAGAGCTGATTTTGCCTTGAAGATTACTTTGACAGGCCGTGTTCTTCCACTTGCACACCCCCCAATTATCCAAAGATTTGTCACCTGGGTCATGCCGTCCTCACCTATTGCTTTCATGACATACCTTCGATCACTTTTTTCTCCTCCTGTTTTCTTTCATCATAGGTTTCTCCTTCAACTTCCTGGAGCCCGCAGACAAAAACGACCTTCTCCCTTTTGTCCTCCCACTGTATCTCCCTTTGCATCCTCTGAGGTGTTTTAGTTCTTTCCATTGAAGCATTCTTGCCTTCAGTCCCTTCCCTGGCTGAAGCCCTTATGCTCAGTGGCCTGTCTTTCCTGATCAGCTGTTCCTGGCCACTGCGGTTGTCTTTAAGAATCTCTTGCATATGGCATAGCTCCTTCGTTGTCTTCAGACCTCTCATTTGTTCTTAGTGTGCTCCTCGTCTTTTCCTGGGCCCCATGTGGGTCTGATAGGGCCTTTGCATACAGTATAGCTCCATTGCTCTCTACAGTCCCCTTGTCTGTGACTGAAATAGAAGTTCCTTGATGTCATGGCTGTAGTGTCATTCGGCTCTTTAAGCTGTTTAAGATTTTTTAGTTCCTCATCTAAGCACTGTCTCTTAGCTCCTGCTGCTATGGCTTGTGGCTACCATTTACTGCTCTCTGCAGCTATCCTCTTTTCCATTTTCTTGCCAAGCTTTTCCAACTTCCTTCCCCACTCTTCCTCCCTTTTTTGTAAGCTCTGCCTCCCAGTCTTCCCTCCCTGCTTGATCACAAATGTAAGTTTTTACTCTAGCTTCAAAGCCACCATCATGACTCATGTGGTTTGTTTACAATGCTTGTTCATTTGCTGAGAACACATATGCCAGGAAAAGGTTTACAACTCTTGTCGATGTCAGAACAGTTATCTTCTTTCTTCTTTAAACAAGCTGGCTGTATCCCACCAAAGTAGGGTGGCCCTGAAAGAAAAACAAAAGTTTCTCTCTTTATCTTTAGTAATGTATACAGGAGAAGGGGTTACTAGCCTGTTGTTCCTGGCATTTTAGCTGCTTCTTACGACACGCATGGCTTATGGAGGAAGAATTTTGTTCCACTTTCCCATGGAGATAAAAGGGAATAAACAATAACAAGAACTAGTAAGAAAATAGAAGAAACCCAGAGGGATGTATTTAATATATATACATCCCTCTGAGTTTTCTTCTATTTTCTTATTAGTTCTTGTACATGCTTGTACATGCATGTGTATATGCTTGTATATTCTTGTGTCCTTGTACAGGCATGTGTAGTGTGACCTAAGTGTAAGTAGAAGTAGCAAGACGTACCTGAAATCTTGCATGTTTATGAGACAAAAAAAAGACACCAACAATCTTACCATCATGTAAAACAATTATTGGTTTGTTTTACACTCACTTGGCAGGAAGGTAGCATCTCCCTGGGTGGTTGATGTCTACCAACCTATTATTGCTAGTTAATATAGGTTATAGGGATGGATTTGTATTGGTTATAGGAACTGCTAATACAGGTTAAAAGGATATATAATTCAGGTTACAGAAATAGATACAGGTTATAGGGATAGTTCACATAGATTACAGGGATACCACAGTAGTTAACACAGATTAAAGGGATAATTAATGCTGGTTATAGGAATAGCTAATATATGTTATAGGGATAGCTACTAGAGTTATATGTAATGCAGGTTGAAAATGTGTGTGCAGTATTGAAAGTAACTTTAAGCACATTTTTCTTATAAAACACAAGAAGTTCGTACAGAAGTGTAGACAGCTGCTGTACTGTGGATTAGTCAAAGATTACAGTGGAACCTCAAAAATCGAACTGCTCCCAACACAACCAATTATGTAAGTGTATTTTTGTAAGTGCTTTATAAGTGTATTTTTGAGGGTCTGAAATGGACTAACCTAATTTACATTATTCCTCATGGGAATAAATTCATTCGGTAAAGGCACTCGAACAGCCTTCTGGACCAAAGAAAGTTCGATATTTGAGGTTCCACTGTATATTATAAGTTCAATTACATGTAGCAAAACTTTCAGTAATAAAAATTTCATGTGGAAATTGATATGCCATTTAGCTTTCTTTGACACTCTAGATGAAAATAGGAATTTTGTGATTTTTTTTTTTTTTTTATGTGTACTGAATGTATTTGAAAATTATACCTAGAACCAGTAGATTTAAGATTTTTTTTTTTTAAATGAAGTAATGAATAACTTCACAAGTTGTGGTTAGAACAAAATCCATCGTCACTTATTGCCCTCAGGTCAACCAGTTGCAGGCCATTGCTGTGGAGGCACGCAAAGATCAACTGAAAAATGAGAATCAAGAACTACAGAAAGAAGTGGATAGGCTAAAGCAAAATTTGTTGAGTCTAGAGAAAACCCAGGGCATCACTCAGGTTAGATATACTGTACACCATTTTGTTCTTCTTTTCTCCAGGGCTTTGTAATTGTCATATTAACCCTTTGAGGGTTTTCGTCGTACTAGTACGTCTTACGCGTAGGGGTTTTTGACGTACTAGTACTCATAAATTCTAGCGACCTCAAATCTAGTGGGAGAAAGCTGGTAGGCTTCATATGAAAGAATGGGTCTATGTGGTCAGTGTGCACAGTCTAAAAAAAATCCTGCAGCACACAGTGCATAATGAGAAAAAAAAAACTTTTTCCATTTTTTTTTAATAAATCAGCGACTTTTGCAGTGTATTTCGTATGGTATTTATTGTTGTATTCTAGTTTTCTTGGTCTCATTTTATAGAATGGAAGACATATTACTGAAATTGAGATGATTTTGACTGGTTTTTACAATGAAAGGTGCCTTGAAATTGAGCTCAAAATAGCAGAAATGTTCGATTTTTACCAAACTTCAAAAGTAAACAAATCGTGCCAAGCGTGCAATACACGTCAACTGGTGAGTCTAATATTCTTTCACAAGTGCACCAATAATATTTATACCATTTTTTACACTAATGCAGTAGTCTGCATAACAGTAAATCTTATATTTTTTGTGAGAATAAAAATTCAAAGTGGAAAGCAAAAGAATATAAGAGGGGCCTTGAGACGTGACTAATGACTAGAGGAAATGTCATTTTAGTGCCAGGAATGTCTTTCTTGTTTATTCTGGACCCTATTCCGAAATTGGCATCTTTTGAAATTTGTGTGAAATTGGCAAAATTGCTAAATTCTGACCACTGTATGGATAGTTGAATTTATAAATGGGTGGTTTCTTGCACCCATTCGATAGAAAAAAATTGTAGTTCTAGCGAAATATTCATGTTTTTTGTCAAACTAGTACAGTGAAATTGGCCGAAAATGGGGCTCAAAGTGGGCAAAATCGCCGATCCGTAAACATCGCCGAGACCGCTAACTTTGCGAGAGCATAATTCCGTAAGTTTTCTATCAAATTTCAAACTTTTGGTGTCGTTATGATCGGGAAAAGATTCTCTATCTTTTCATAAGAGAAAATAATTTTTTTTTTTTTTTAAATTTGGCCGACCCTGAGAACGAGTTTTGGAGAGGGCCTGTCGACCCTCAAAGGGTTAATGATCTCAAAAATGTGAAATTTGATGGAAACTCATGGAATTACACAGGCACAAATTGGCATATTGGATGCATTTACACATTGGTAATTTTGCAGACTTGGAGTCCTGTTTTAAGCAATTTCCAAGCTCATTTTGACCCAGTTCCTATTTATTTTATTAGTATGCCTTCTATTTTATTGATTATTGGTTTAGGCTGTCCCAGTAATTAAAGCAGACCTAGTAAAAATTTATTTCACTAGTAAGTCCTCCATTCTATCTAATGATACCAAGAAATAGCCAGTAAAACCGTAAAACCCACCTTAGAAAATACCTTAAAGACAAGGTTAGAGGTTAACTTTTTTCACTGCACACTACATGGGGCACAATTTTTTTCCTGAAATGCACTCACTGCAAAGACACATTCTCTCATGTTACCGCTCACAGCGTATTTGAAGAAGCTGTGCTTAAAATTGTAGATCTGTGTATGAGACAGTGATGCTAGTAAAGGGTTCTTTACCCAAGAAATTAGAATTACCGTCCCCTTCCTTAGAGCAAACCTGGTTACTTTGATTTCTCAGGCACTGTATGATTCCTAGTGGTATAATGCTTACCATTAATACAATAATGTAATGATGGGCATAAGTCTGCTTTATGCAGTATGTCTTTTGTAAATGCACTTTGTTCCTTGAGGGAGGTTTCTTGATGATGGTGAGGGGCTCTTGATCAAACAAATTATACCTTTGCACCTCTTCCTTATTGCCTCCCATTGGTATGCTCTGCATACTAATGGGCTTTCTGCATTCATACCTAAATGTTATCCATCTCCCTACAAATATTGTATCATTCTGAAATAAAGATTACGATTATGAATATTCTTCCAGGAACTGTATGACCCCCTGTGGGTAGAGTGCTTTCCCCCATGTAGTTCTTCCCTCATTGGGGTCCTAATTTCAGATGTTTATTATTATTATTATTTCTTTATTATTATTATTTCTACACAGAACTGTTTGCTTATAGACATATATTCATATAATGGCTTACTTTTCCAACCAATATGTACAGTAAACCCTCTACTTAATGGACTAAATGGGGAGTGGATGGCCAGTAATAGCACGTGTAATGGCTAGAGAATTTTTTTGCCGTAACTGTAACAGTGAATAGTTTGTAACCAAAGGATTTTGTCCATTGTTTCCAATGGACAGTTTTGTAACCACTAGACTTTGTAGTTTCTGAATCATTTGACCCTGTGCATTTTGAAACCAGTTAGCCAGACTATAGTCATGGAGGTGGGAAGTACAGTGCCTGTACTCTGAACAAGGGGTGGAGATATGTTACAGTTTTTGAACTGTAGTATCAGTATGCCTCTGGCAAGACAGTGATGGAGTGAGTGATGATGAAAGTGTTTCTTTTTTGAATCATCCTGCATCAGTGGAAAATGGCTGGTGTGTTAAAAAAAATCTGGAGTACAATATTTTTCCACTTAAGTGGCGGGGGGATGAATAATCAAGAACAACACAAGTTCATGCATTTTTTCCACAGTATTATGACTTCGTTAAGAAGACCAAACCGTCCATTCCTGATAATGTTATCCCTGGTAATGATCCTCTGGTCCAGTCATCAGTACAGTCACTGTCGCCTAAGCCTCAGGTGGAAAAACAAAAGGTAATTCTCATCGCATTTGTTTAAGAAGTTCCATACTTATTTATGTAACATTTTTGCATGCATATGCTTTTTAACCAAAAATTTTAGAGCAGACATTGAAATTTCCTAAAAATGGTTGAAAACCTCATGTGAAAATAGAAACATACACAAATAACCTACACATAGAGAGGAGCTTACAACGTTTCCTTGAATCAGAAATTTCCACTCTTCGTAATTCATTTTCCCATCTTGGCTACCCTTCCCATTTCATAGAGTCTGCCTTCTCACATGCTAAACATAATTTCTTCTCTCCCAAACTCTCTACTCCTGGGAACTCTCCTGTCCTCTGCCTTCCCTACATTTCCAGTCTTTCTAATCTCAACAGCTCTCTCCGTTCCTTAGACATCAAACTTACTTTTCACGAGACTAACACTCTTCACACTAATCTAGTTCATACCTCTCCTCCCTCTATAGATGCTCCTGGTGTCTAGTCTATTTCTTGTTCCTCCTGTCCTTTTCAGAACTTTGGAGAAATGGACCATTCTCTTTCTGACAGACTCAAAGAGCACAAAAGTAGTGTTACGTTTGCCGACACCAACAATGCTCTTTTTCTGTCATGTCAGAGATCACAATCATCCTATTGACTGGTCTTCTGCTAAATCTGTCTACCCTACTTTTAAATTTCAGAGTTGCCATATAGTTGAATCCTCCCTTATACACAACTTTCTTGTATGAATTTTATTTCTGGCTTTGTCTCTGTAGATGCCTTCCTTTCCCATTACATTGTAAAATGTTCCAAACTTCAGAACACCCTTGACCTAATCTGATAGTTTTTTCCCCTTTTCCCTTTTCCTCTTTCCTCTTTCTCCTTTAGGTTTTCTTTCTTCTGCCTTGAGTATTTATACTTTATTATTTATTTCCTCCCCCTCTGTGTTCTTGCTCCTACCCTCTGTGGGCACGTAGCTCCCTTGCAATGTTCCTCTTCCTTATTTGACTCACTTCACTACTACTACCACTACTACTACCTCTCTTTCTCCTTTCCTACTACCTCTCTTGTCCCATCCCTGTCTGCTAGCCTATATATATGCCCTCCTCCTCTCCTTTTTGTTAGTGTGACTTTATAAATGGTCCAAGTCGGCCTGAAACGTCATTGTAAACTCCTCTCTCCTATTTGTGGGTTATTTGTGTATTGTTCCAGTTACAGTATTGTGCCTTTTTTTTTTTTGTTATTTAGTCAGAAACATTTAGGTTAGGCTCAGAGAAAGACATATCATATGTCTTTCTCTAGGACTGACCTCATGGTGATCATTTGCATTACAAAGCAGTGTATTTGCTCATTCCTGTGTACTTGATAAAACCCAGCCTTGGGTGAAACATAGTACAGTGGAACCTCAAAAATTGAACTTAATCCGTTCCAGGAGCTAGTTCTAAATTCGAAAAGTCTGAAATTCGAAGCAATATTTCCCATAAGAAATAATGGAAATACAATTAATCCGTTCCAGAAACCCAAAAATATACACTCAAAAAATGCATTTTATAGAGATTAATTACAGTTTTACATACAACAAATACTATAGTTTTTAATTATAACATTTTTACTTACCTTTATTGAAGATTGGTGATGGCATCTGGAAGATAGGGAGGAGGAGAGAGGAAGTTGGGGTTAGTGTTTGGAAGGAGAATCCCCCTCCATGAGGACTTCAGGTAAAGCCCTCTCTGGGGTTACTTCCCTTCTCTGTCTTTTAATGCCACTAGGACCAGCTTGAGAGTCATTGGACCCCTGTCTCACAAAATAACTGTCCACAGTCCTCTGTTTCTGGCACCTCTTTAACATTTCCCTAAAATGGGACATGGTTCTGTCACTGAACTTGTTGCAAAGATAGCTTGTTTCAGCTTGCTCAGGGTGGTACTTCTGCACAAACATTTGGACATCATTCCACTTGGCACAAATCTCCTTAATCTTTGAAGAGGGCACCTCATCCACTCCCTCATCCTCCTCCTCTGAAGCAAGTTCCTCAGCTGTGGTCTGATACTGTTCCAGATGAAGCTCTTGCAGCTCTTCAGTGGTTAGCTCTTCCCTGTGGTCCTCCACCAACTCTTCCACATCCTCACCACTCACCTCCAACCCCAGGGTGTTCCCCAATGCCACAATAGAGTCCACATTAGGCAGAGGGTGAGCTGGGTCAGGGTCAGGGTCAGCCTCAAACCCTTCAAAGTCCCTCTTTTGGACACAATCAGGCCACAATTGTCTGCAAGCAGAGTTCAAAGTCCTGGAAGTCACTCCCTCCCAAGCCTTACCTATAAGGCTTATGGAGCTGTAGATGTTGAAGCGATTCCTCCAGAACTCTCTTAGGGTCAACTTAGTGTCTGTGGTCATTTCAAAGCACTTTTCAAACACTGCTTTTGTGTAGAGTTTTTTGAAGTTAGAAATGACCTGCTGGTCCATGGGCTGGAGGAGAGGAGTGGTGTTAGGAGGCAAGAACTTCACTTTTATAAAACTGAAGTCCTTAGACAAGAGGTCTAATAAGTTTGGAGGATGAGCAGGAGCATTGTCCATTAACAGGAGGCACTTGAGTGGCAGTTTCTTTTCCTGGAGGTATTGTTTCACACTGGGGCCAAACACTTCATGGACCCACTCTTTGAAAATTTGTCTTGTGACCCATGCCTTATGATTACCTTTCCACAAGACACATAACTTGTTCTTAAAGACATTGTTTTTCTTAAACACTCTGGGATTTTCTGAATGATACACAAGTAAAGGCTTCACTTTAAAATCACCACTAGCATTAGCACAGAACAAAAGAGTAAGCCTGTCTTTCATAGGCTTGTGTCCTGGCAGTGTCTTTTCCTCCTGTGTGATGAAGGCCCTTTTTGGCATTTTCTTCCAAAACAAGCCTGTTTCCTCACAAACACTTGTTCAGGTTTCAATTCTTCACTGTCTATTTATTATTTATTATCACACTGGCCGATTCCCACCAAGGCCAGAAGGGTGCTTTACACTACAGTTTTTAAACTGCAACATTAACACCCCTCCTTCAGAGTGCAGGCACTGTACTTCCCATCTCCAGGACTCAAGTCCAGCCTGCCGGTTTCCCTGAACCCCTTCATAAATGTTACTTTGCTCACACTCCAACAGCACGTCAAGTACAGTGGACCCCCGCTTAACGATCACCTCCAAATGCGACCAATTATGTAAGTGTATTTATGTAAGTGCGTTTGTACGTGTATGTTTGGGGGTCTGAAATGGACTAATCTACTTCACAATATTCCTTATGGGAAAAAATTCGGTCAGTACTGGCACCTGAACATACTACTGGAATGAAAAAAGTTCGTTAACCGGGGGTCCACTGTATTAAAAACCATTTGTCTCCATTCACTCCTATCAAACACGCTCATGCATGCCTGCTGGAAGTCCAAGCCCCTTGCACACAAAACCTCCTTTACCCCCTCCCTCCAACCTTTCCTAGGCCGACCCCTACCCCGCCTTCCTTCCACTACAGACTGATACACTCTTGAAGTTATTCTGTTTCGCTCCATTCTCTCCACATGTCCGAACCACCTCAACAACCCTTCCTCAGCCCTCTGGACAACAGTTTTGGTAATCCCGCACCTCCTCCTAACTTCCAAACTACGAATTCTCTGCATTATATTCACACCACACATTGCTCTCAGACATGACATCTCCACTGCCTCCAGCCTTCTCCTCGCTGCAACATTCATCACCCATAAACCATACCCCCGGCCGGGATTGAACCCGCGGTCATAGAGTCTCAAAACTCCAGCCCGTCGCGTTAGCCACTAGACCAGCTAGCCACAATAAGATTCATCCAACTAGGTATATTTCTACACCATAGGAAGGTTAGCACTAACCTTCCTATGGTGTAGAAATATACCTAGTTGGATGAATCTTATTGTGGCTAGTTGGTCTAGTGGCTAACGCGACGGGCTGGAGTTTTGAGACTCTATGACCGCGGGTTCAATCCCGGCCGGGGGTATGGTTTGTTTGCAATCGTGTCATTACGATTTCTTGAGTCATTCATCACCCATGCTTCACACCCGTATAAGAGCGTTGGTAAAATTATACTCTCATACATTCCCCTCTTTACCTCCAAGGACAAAGTTCTTTGTCTCCACAGACTCCTAAGTGCACCACTCACCCTTTTCCCCTCATCAATTCTATGATTCACCTCATCTTTCATAGACCCATCCGCTGACAAGTCCACTCCCAAATATCTCAATACATTCACCTCCTCCACACTCTCTCCCTCCAATCTGATATCCAATCTTTCATCACCTAATCTTTTTGTTATCCTCATAACCTTACTCTTTCCTGTATTCACTTTCAATTTTCTTCTTTTGCACACCCTACCAAATTCATCCACCAATCTCTGCAACTTCTCTTCAGAATCTCCCAAGAGCACAGTGTCATAGTCAAAGAGCAACTGTGACAACTCCCACTTTATGTGTGATTCTCTATCTTTTAACTCCACGCCTCTTGCCAAGACCCTCGCATTTACTTCTCTTACAACCCCATCTATAAATATATTAAACAACCACGGTGACATCACACATCCTTGTCTAAGGCCTACTTTTACTGGGAAATAATTTCCCTCTTTCCTACATACTCTAACTTGAGCCTCACTATCCTCGTAAAAACTCTTCACTGCTTTCAGTAACCTACCTCCTACACCGTACACCTGCAACATCTGCCACATTGCCCCCCTATCCACCCTGTCATACACCTTTTCCAAATCCATTAATGCCACAAAGACCTCTTTAGCCTTATCTAAATACTGTTCACTTATATGTTTCACTGTAAACACCTGGTCCACACACCCCCTACCTTTCCTAAAGCCTCCTTGTTCATCTGCTATCCTATTCTCCGTCTTACTCTTAATTCTTTCAATAATAACTCTACCATACACTTTGCAAGGTATACTCAACAGACTTATCCCCCTATAATTTTTGCACTCTCTTTTATCCCCTTTGCCTTTATACAAAGGAACTATGCATGCTCTCTGCCAATCCCTAGGTACCTTACCCTCTTCCATACATTTATTAAATAATTGCACTAACCACTCCAAAACTATATCCCCACCTGCTTTTAACATTTCTATCATTATCCCATCAATCCCGGCTGCCTTACCCCCTTTCATTTTACCTACTGCCTCACGAACTTCCCCCACACTCACAACTGGCTCTTCCTCACTCCTGCAAGATGTTGTTCCTCTTTGCCCTATACACGAAATCACAGCTTCCCTATCTTCATCAACATTTAACAATTCCTCAAAATATTCCCTCCATCTTCCCAATACCTCTAACTCTCCATTTAATAACTCTCCTCTCCTATTTTTAACTGACAAATCCATTTGTTCTCTAGGCTTTCTTAACTTGTTAATCTCACTCCAAAACTTTTTCTTATTTTCAACAAAATTTGTTGATAACATCTCACCCACTCTCTCATTTGCTCTCTTTTTACATTGCTTCACCACTCTCTTAACCTCTCTCTTTTTCTCCATATACTCTTCCCTCCTTGCATCACTTCTACTTTGTAAAAACTTCTCATATGCTAACTTTTTCTCCCTTACTACTCTCTTCACATCATCATTCCACCAACCGCTCCTCTTCCCTCCCGCACCACTTTCCTGTAACCACAAACTTCTGCTGAACACTCTAACACTACATTTTTAAACCTACCCCATACCTCTTCGACCCCATTGCCTATGCTCTCATTAGCCCATCTATCCTCCAATAGCTGTTTATATCTTACCCTAACTGCCTCCTCTTTTAGTTTATAAACCTTCACCTCTCTCTTCCCTGATGCTTCTATTCTCCTTGTATCCCATCTACCTTTTACTCTCAGTGTAGCTACAACTAGAAAGTGATCTGATATATCTGTGGCCCCTCTATAAACATGTACATCCTGAAGTCTACTCAACAGTCTTTTATCTACCAATACATAATCCAACAAACTACTGTCATTTCGCCCTACATCATATCTTGTATACTTATTTATCCTCTTTTTCTTAAAATATGTATTACCTATAACTAAACCCCTTTCTATACAAAGTTCAGTCAAAGGGCTCCCATTATCATTTACACCTGGCACCCCAAACTTACCTACCACATCCTCTCTAAAAGTTTCTCCTACTTTAGCATTCAGGTCCCCTACCACAATTACTCTCTCACTTGGTTCAAAGGCTCCTATACATTCACTTAACATCTCCCAAAATCTCTCTCTCTCCTCTGCATTCCTCTCTTCTCCAGGTGCATACACGCTTATTATGACCCACTTCTCGCATCCAACCTTTACTTTAATCCACATAATTCTTGCATTTACACATCCATATTCTCTTTTCTCCTTCCATAACTGATCATTCAACATTACTGCTACCCCTTCCTTTGCTCTAACTCTCTCAGATACTCCAGATTTAATCCCATTTATTTCCCCCCACCGAAACTCCCCTACCCCCTTCAGCTTTGTTTCGCTTAGGGCCAGGACATCCAACTTCTTTTCATTCATAACATCAGCAATCATCTGTTTCTTGTCATCCGCACTACATCCACGCACATTTAAGCATCCCAGTTTTATAAAGTTTTTCTTCTTCTCTTTTTTAGTAAATGTCTACAGGAGAAGGGGTTACTAGCCCATTGCTCTCGGCATTTTAGTCGCCTCATACGACACGCATAGCTTACGGAGGAAAGATTCTTTTCCACTTCCCCATGGACAATAAAAGAAAAAAAGAGGAACAAGAGCTATTTAGAAAAAGGAGAAAAACCTAGATGTATGTACATGTATATATATATATGCATGTGCGTGTCTGTGAAGTGTGACCAAAGTGTAAGTAGGAGTAGCAAGATATCCCTGTTATCTAGCGTGTTTATGAGACAGAAAAAGAAACCAGCAATCCTACCATCATGCAAAACAGTTACGGGTTTCTGTTTCACAGTCATCTGGCAGGACGGTAGTACTTCCCTGGGTGGTTGCTGTCTACCAACCTACTGTACCCCTTAAACTCCTGTACAAACTTCTCAGCCACCCATTTGTCTGAACTGGCTGCCTCACCATGTCTTACAACATTGTGTATGCCACTACGCTTCTTAAATCTGTCAAACCAGCCTCTGCTGGCCTTAAATTCACTATCAGCACTTGTTCCAGGAGTTTTCTGTACCAGATCGGCATGCAACTTCCTCGCCTTTTCACAAATAATCGTCTCTGAAACACTATCACCTGCAATCTCTTTGTCCTTGATCCACACCAGCAACAACTTCTCAACCTCTTCAACTATTTGTGGTCGTTTTTTGGTTAGCATATTAACACCTTTTGCAACATCAGCTTCCTTGATTTGTTCTTTCTTTGACAGGATAGAACCGATGGTCGACTTGTTTTTCCCGTACATCCTGGCAAGCTCAACAAGTCTCGCACCACTCTCATCCTTCTGTATTATTTCCTTCTTCACATCTATGGTGTTTCTCACTTTCTTTACCACAGGGGTACCACTAGCAAGTTTCTTTGGGCCCATGGCAGCTTATTTCACAGTCCCACAAGAACTAAACACAACGTAACAATCGTAAAATGCGTGAATGAGAGCGCAGGTTAGTGTTCACTCAAGCATAAACAAAGCTAGACTGCTCACGGCGCCTGCTCGGGGACGTGGACAGAGCAGGCCGGCAGACAGGTCCTGTACCCGGCTGTCCGAAAATAGGGGCACATTCGATAATAGGGACACAGTTTGTCCGAAAAAATGGTCCTATTTTCGAAACGTTCGATATGTGATACATTTGATTTTTGAGGTTCCACTGTATTAAAAGAATCCTTTGCTGTCAAGTGTCTTTATTCCACTTGACAGCTTTTTCCATTGTCTCTCTACTTTGTCTCCTCTGTCTTTGAACCTGAGTATGTTGTATGGTTTGAGTTTGTCCTCTCTCTCTCTTCATAGATTATTCCTTTGTTTATAACATGCTCGCCATACAAGTAGCACAACACTAACAAGGTCTTCTCACACTCAGACGTCACATTCAAATTTAAACACTAAGGGCAGTTGAATTTTCTGTAGTCAGCTGTTGTGTTTTGTTAAGTGCTCAGTTTGCCCATCTAGCAAATTAGGGTTTAAATTTAGTGTGGATGTGTAAAGGTATTGTGTACAGTTAATGTAAAATGCCCTAAGCTTGTCCTATAAGCAACTTAGGCGGGGTGGCCCATTTACAACATGCATGGCTTATGGAGGAAGAATTCTGTTCCACTTCCCCATGGAGGTAAGAGGAAATAAACAAGAACTAGAAAGAAAATAGAAGAAAACCCAGAGAGGTGTTTATATATATGCTTGTACATGTATGTGTATTGTGACCTAAGTGTCAGTAGAAGTAGCAAGACGTACCTGAAATCTTGCATGTTTATGAGACAGAAAAAAAGACACCAGCAATTCTACCATCGTGTAAAACAATTACAGGCTTCTGTTTTACACTCACTTGGCAGGACAGTAGTACCTCCCTGGGCGGTTGCTGTCTACCAACCAACTACCTACATTGTTAATTTATATACTGTAAATATTATGTTTTTGTAAATTTTGTTGTTTTAGCTCTTATTTAATGTTTAATTAGTTTTTTATTGGATTTTTTAGAAGAGTGATAAGAGACCTGAGAAGAAAGAGAAAAAGGAAGAGGGAGGAGGATTAAAAAAATCAGATGATGAAGCGCCTGTGGATGTGTCACGTTTAGATTTCAGAATTGGAAAAATTGTGTCGGCAAAGAAGCATCCAGATGCAGATTCTCTCTATGTTGAAGAGGTACAATATTTTATAGATTTTTTAAATTTCTAAAAAAGCAAACTTGAATCATTTTACAATTATGGTAGTTCAAGTAATGATTTTAAATTAATTTTGAAGCTGTTAGTACAGGTCCGCCAACACAAATCCGGCAATCAGTTATTCGGTTCCTTCAGTTATTCGGCACTAATTTTGGTTAGCATAATTTCAAATTTCCAGGGTCGCCACACCAACCTGCTGGTACTGTTTGGTGGCGCTACTTGCTGCATAAGTCATTCTAATTTCTTTTTCTCCATTTATTGTTTTAACCTGCTTACTTTTAGCCCTAGCCATGGTTCCAATGAATAAAAGAAATGCTTCTCATTATGTAAAGCACCTGCACAGTACATTATCCATTAAAGATAAGGTGGCTTTGAAGCCACTGTCGATTGCCATGAGCTCAGTCTCATGAAGCAGGAGAATATGCTTTATTATTATGCTAATATCAACACTACAGCTTATTTGCCTATCACAATTGATCTAATATGACATAAGAAACAATGTAAATAACATAAAACGTGTTAAATACTCCAGAATAAATAATATTTGGCATAACACTGAGCAGTTTGACGGAGGTATGAAGAGGATTTAGTATACAAACACCATTCTCCTATCCTTGTCTTGGTGGCTTATATTAGAGAAAACGGAGTGTAGCACAGGGCTAACTGTGATATACACTCGTACTGCACCATAAACCTGAAACAAAAAAGTTATTTTCTCTCTATAGATTATCACACACAGCAGCATATGTGTAGAGAACTTAGGATAACCCAAAAAAAAGTCAACATGGCTTATTTTTAGTACCTGGCTTGGGTTAGCCATATATGATTTTTGGTAAATATTCGATTCCCAGCCAGGGTAGAAACATTAGGCGTGTTTCTTTACATGTGTTGTCTATGTTTACCCATCAGTAAATGGGTACCTGGGTGTTAGCCGACTAGTGTGGGTGTTATCCTGGGACACTGACCTAATTTTCTTGAAATACTCAGCATAACAAGCGGCTTTCTGTACAGTAGTATGTCACTGATGTCAGCTAGGCCTGTATACCTTGTACATGTACATGTAGTAAATAAAGATTTTTTTTTTTTTTTTTTCTTCAACAAGTCGGCCATCTCCCACCGAGGCAGGGTGACCCAAAAAAGAAAGAAAATCCCCAAAAAGAAAATACATTCATCATCATTCAACACTTTCACCACACTCACACATTACCACTGCTTTTGCAGAAGTGCTCAGAATACAACAGTTTAGAAGCATATACGTATAAAGATACACAACATATCCCTCCAAACTGCCAATATCCCAAACCCCTCCTTTAAAGTGCAGGCATTGTACTTCCCATTTCCAGGACTCAAGTCCGACTATATGAAAATAACCGGTTTCCCTGAATCCCTTCACTAAATATTACCCTGCTCACACTCCAACAGATCGTCAGGTCCCAAGTATCATTCGTCTCCATTCACTCCTATCTAACACGCTCATGCACGCTTGCTGGAAATCCAAGCCCCTCGCCCACAAAACCTCCTTTACCCCCTCTTTCCAACCCTTTCGAGGATGACCCCTACCCCTCCTTCCTTCCCCTAAAGATTTATATGCTTTCCATGTCATTCTACTTTGATCCATTCTCTAAATGACCAAACCACCTCAACAACCCCTCTTCTGCCCTCTGACTAATGCTTTTATTAACTCCACACCTTCTCCTAATTTTCACACTCTGAATTTTCTGCATAATATTTACACCACACATTGCCCTTAGACAGGACATCTCCACTGCCTCCAACCATCTCCTTGCTGCTGCATTTACCACCCAAGCTTCACATCCATATAAGAGTGTTGGTACTACTATACTTTCATACATTCCCTTCTTTGCCTCCATAGATAACGTTTTTTGACTCCACATATACCTCAACGCACCACTCACCTTTTTTCCCTCATCAATTCTATGATTAACCTCATCCTTCATAAATCCATCTGCCGACACATCAACTCCCAAGTATCTGAAAACATTCACTTCTTCCATACTCCTCCTCCCCAATTTGATATCCAATTTTTCTTTATCTAAATCATTTGATACCCTCATCACCTTACTCTTTTCTATGTTCACTTTCAACTTTCTACCTTTACACACATTCTCAAACTCATCCACTAGCCTTTGTAATTTTTCTTTAGAATCTCCCATAAGCACAGTATCATCAGCAAAAAGTAACTGTGTCAATTCCCATTTTGAATTTGATTCCTCATAATTTAATCCCACCCCTCTCCCGAACACCCTAGCATTTACTTCTTTTACAGCCCCATCTATAAATATATTAAACAACCATGGTGACATTACACATCCCTGTCTAAGACCTACTTTTACCGGGAAGTAATCTCCCTCTCTTCTACACACCCTAACCTGAGCCTCACTATCCTCATAAAAGCTCTTTACAGCATTTAGTAACTTACCACCTATTCCATATACTTGCAACATCTGCCACATTGCTCCTCTATCCACTCTATCATATGCCTTTTCTAAATCCATAAATGCAATAAAAACTTCCCTACCTTTATCTAAATACTGTTCACATATATGCTTCAATGTAAACACTTGATCTACACATCCCCTACCCACTCTGAAGCCTCCCTGCTCATCCGCAATCCTACATTCTGTCTTACCTCTAATTATTTCAATTATAACTCTACCGTATACTTTTCCTGGTATACTGAGTAAACTTATTGGTCTATAATTTTTACATTCTCTTTTGTCCCCTTTCCCTTTATATAAAGGGACTATACATGCTCTCTGCCAGTATAATAAATAATAATAATAATAATAATAATAATATCTTTATGCTGATTGGCGGAGGGCATAAAGATATTATTATTATTATTATTTATTATTATTATTATTATTATTATTGTTATTATTATATTATTATTTTCTCAGTTGTTTGTTGGGTTATCTTATTCAAACTTGGGCAATGTATGATGGAAAGATACTTCTTCACTTACACCAAAAATGAAAGAAATCAGACAATAAATAGCGGAGTTCACTTCTCAGCCATTAGCGGCCGCTTAGCGGTATATTTTTGTATGGTTGTTATGGTTATATTCTCATTTTTTTGGTCTCATTTGATAGAATGAAAGACATATTACAGAAATAGATATGATTTTGATTGCTTTCATGACGAAAAGTACCTTGAAATTGCGCTCACAGTAGCAAAAATGTTCTATTGTTTAGTGAAGCTCAAGAGTAAACAAATGACGTCACCGTCCAATACCTGTCCGCCTGCCAGTCTAAATTCCAGTACGGAGTCAAGAATGGATAGACATTATTTATACAATTATTAAAATAATGCAGCAGTCTGCATAACAGTAAATCTTCTATTTTTTTTTTTTTTGTGAATAAAAATTCCAAATGAAAAGCAAGAGTAATATAAGAGGGGCCTGGAGCCATGACTAATGAACAGATAAAATGTTATTTTAGTGCCAGGAATGTTTGCATTGTTTATTCTGGATCCTATTTTGAAATTGGCATCTGTTGAAATTTGTGTGAAATCGGCCAAATTGCCAATTTCTGACCACTTTATTGGGTAGTTGAAATAAGTGAATGGGCGGTTTCTTGTACTCAGTCGACAGACTAAAAGTAAATAAGTTTATTCAGGTATACACAAATACAGTTACATAGATTATCATACATGGCAGTGTATGTATAGAGAACCTAGGATAACCCAGAAAAGTCAGACAAAGTGACTTGTTTCCAGTACCTGGCTTGGGCTTGCCATATATGATTTTTGGTAAAAAAAATTTTTCTCAGTTGTTTGTTGGGCTATCTCACTGAAACTTGGGCAATGTATGATGGAAAGATGCCTTTTAACGTACAACAAAAATAAAAAAGACAGACGATAAATAAGGGAGTTAACTTCTCAGCCATTAGCCGCCTCTTTGCAGTATATTTTCGTATGGTTTTTATGGTTGTATTCTCATTTTTTTGGGCTCATTTGATAGAATGGAAGATATATTACAGAAATAGACATGATTTTGATTGCTTTCATGACGAAAAGTACCTTGAAATTGAGCTCAAAGTAGCGGAAATGTTCGAATTTTGCCGATGTTCAATGAACTGTGTAAGTCAAGTTGGCTAATTTTATTAAGTGTATTCTAACCTAACCATTCTGTAATTCGGCAAACTCAGTAATCCGGCACACTGCAGGTCCCAATGATGCTGGATTTGTGATGGAGGACCTGTATTACTGTGTGTTTTCTTTTAATCTAGGAGAAAAAATTTTAACCAATTTTTAATCTTTGTGTAAGCTGTACCACATTTGAGGATCCTTTGAGGCACAAAATTGTAATAACACAAGTGCAAACAAATCTTGGAATGGGTGGGGCTTGAACCCAGTCAGTGATTTAGGGTCTTTCGTTTGCATTGCTCATACATGTGTGATATCAGAGGTATTTGTTTCTTGTATTGAGCATGTATAACATATTGCAGCTCTGCAAATAATTTTAAATCTAGGTTAATGCAGGTTAGAAGAATCTTGTAGCTGTCAGATAAACAGAGTATATATGGGAACTGGAAAGTAATCATTTGATTCAAGGGAGGGAAGGTTAGCTATAGTTTATAGTTTCTTTGATCAAGAGCTCTTTACTGGCATCATGGCACCTCCCTTGAAGGAATGGTAAAAAGCAAAATTTATGATGTCAAAATAGTTTTGTGTATTTAAGATCAACATAAAATGAAAAGAAATGTGTCAATATTATTTCCAGGTTGATATCGGAGAAGAGAAGACGCGCACTGTTGTTTCTGGACTTGTGAGATTTATTCCAGTGGAGGAAATGCAGAATCGCATGGCAGTGTTGTTGTGCAACCTGAAACCAGCCAAGATGCGAGGTATCACATCTGAAGCTATGGTTATGTGTGCATCATCTCCTGATAAGGTACAACAAATTAAGTTATTGATGTTGATGTATGTCTTGGGAAATGTTTGAAACATTAACATATATCAGAACTGCAGTATCCTTACCCATCCTTCAGAGTGTAGGTACTGTACGTTCCACATCTAGAACTAGAATCCAACTAATAGATCTCTGCTGTTCTTGCAAATAACTCAGTTCATTTCATTCCTATTGTATCTCCTTTTACTGTAACTGATTTTCACACAGTTGACTTAGCTATATTAATTTTTAAGGTTATAATTCATGACTGATTTCCACTGTAATTTACAGGTAGGCTTTAAATAATATGATATTACAAAGACACCAATGGAACTGTGTACCTGCACCTAAATAAGCTTACACTACTTCTCTCCAACTCTTCCTGGGAAGACTCGTACCCCTCCTTCCTTCTACCCTGGACTTGTACAGCCTTTTATCAACTTATGCTCTGCCCTAGTAACCAAACCATCTCAACAACCCTTCTGCCACCCTCTGAATTATACCTTTCATACTACCACACACTCTCTTCTGGTTTCTGTGCTTATAATTCCTTGAATAATATTCACGCTACACAAATGTTGAATGAGTGCTTGGGGAGTTTTGAGCCAAGTGAGAGAGTATTTGTGGTTGGGGATCTCAGTGCTAAAGTGGGTAAAAATGTTGTGGAGGGAGTAGTAGGTAAATTTGGGGTGCCAGGGGTAAAGGAAAATGGGGAGCCTTTAATTGAACTGTGTCTAGAAAGAGGCTTGGTAATAAGTAATAAATATTTTATGAAAAAGAGGATAAATAAGTATACAAGATACGATATAGTACGTAATGAAAGTAGTTTGTTAGATTATGTATTGGTGGATAAAAGGTTGATGGGTAGGCTTCAGGATGTACATGTTTATAGAGAGGCAATGGATGTATTGGATCATTATTTAGTTGTAGCTACAGTTACAGTAAGAGGTAGATGGACATAAGGAAAATGGCAACAGCAAGTAAGAGAGAGGTGAAAGTGTATAAACTAAGGAAGGAGGAAGTTAGGGTGAGATATAAGCAACTATTGGCAGAAAGGTGCACTAATGCAAGTATGAGTAGTGGGGGGGGGGGGGTTGAAGAGGGTTGGGATAGTTTTAAAACTGAAGTATTACAATGTGGGATAGAAGTTTGTGGCTATAGGAGGGTGGGTGCAGGAAGAAAGAGAAGTGATTGGTGGAATGATGAAGTAAATGGTGTGATAAAAGAGAAAAGGGTAGTGTTACAAAAAGCGCAATTCTAAAAGCTTAGAGATCTCCAGTGAATACTAGAAAGGACTGCCCTTCTAGCATCCAGCCTGTTACTGGGGTTTCGTAACAATTAGTCAGTATCCTTGTCCAATTATCCATTAGAATTCAATAAGAATTATTAGTGCTTCAGGATTACAACTGGTAGGCTACTAACTAGAGAAATTAAAATTTAATAAATTTATTAATCATAGTCTAGAGGTATATTATCAAATTAAATTAAATTAAATTAATCACAGTAATCAAAATAATATTAATCACTTCTCTCGTATACAGTATTATTGTGCTGAAAGCACATATCACATTTATAATTCTTAAGTACCGTCTGGTACATTAACATTTAATAAGATATTACAAATATGTACAAGTAAGTTTGTGTGTATGTGTGTAAGTGCTCTAAGTAGTTCGCTATGTCTCACGACTCGACTAGACTTAAACAAGTGACTGACAAAGTCCTCACATAAACTAACTTCTTGACCAACTAGCAATTAGAACAGTCTGCTTGAACAATAAAGAGAATGCTAAGCCCAATAGCAATATAACAAGCAACTGCGACACAATCAGGATCAAGGAGATAATATAACGACACGAAGTAGGGACCATCAGCAGATCCTCCAAAAAAGTCACAAAACTCCCATACTACTGAATCTAAGCTCAGCATAAGAAAATACCCAACTGTGACAGTACACAGATACCAGTACAAACTAGGTCAGAAGCTACAGCTCAGGACCTGAGTTGCTTAGAGTGTCTATGCGACACACAACCTCAGTACAACGTCGAAAATCACTAAGTCTATACAATGTTCTGTGAACAGAGTTTTACAGAACTAACAAGAAAGCTACAGAGACGATCTTCCAACAAGGGCCAATAAGGGAGAATTAGGCACTTCTTGTCAGGAATACGTCCAACCACCAAGCGAGTCTAGACCAGACTGAATACTTCAGGCGAGGTGTGAACCCCCCTTCCCCTTCTATCACGTGATAGCTCCGTGGACAGTTGCTGCCCAGCAACAGAAGCCGGCAGAGTAACGAGCAAAGAGCGATAATTACAGTGGTTAGACAATCAAGACTTGAACTTTGAGCACATAATATATGTATTACATCCTACCTAACAAAAGTAACTAAGTCAAATAATAATATAAAGCAATATATTTACGATTTAGCTATTATCGCAAATATAAGCAATATAAAATTATATGAAAAGTTAACCCATTCAGGGGTTGCAACAGGTAGCTTATGAGAGGTTTTTACAAAGCAGAAGTGTTGTAAGAGCAGAGTATATGGAGAGTAAAAGAAAGGTGAAGAGAGTGGTGAGAGAGTGAAGGAGAGCAGATGAGTGGGAGAGGCACTGGCAAGAAATTTTGATAAAAATTTAGAAAAAATTTTGGAGTGGGATAAACAAGTTAAGAAAGTCTAGGGAGTGAATGAATTTGTCAGTTAAAAACAGAGTAGGGGAATTAGTAGATGGGGAGCTGGAGGTATTGGGTAGATGGCGGTAATATTTTGAGGAACTTCTAAATGTCGATGATGAAAGGGAAGCAGTAATTTCATGCCCTGGTCAAGGAGGTATAACATCTTTTAGGAGTGAAGAAGAGCAGGATGTGAGTATGGGGGAGATGCATGAGGCATTACGTAGAATGAAGGGGGGTAAAGCAGCAGGAACTGACAGGATCATGTTAGAAATGTTAAAAGCAGGGGGAGATATTGTGCTGGAGTGGTTGGTATTTTTGTTTAATAAATGTATGAAAGAGGGGAAGGTACCTAGGGACTGGGGGACAAAAAGAGATTGTAAAAATTATAGTGGAAGAAGTTTATTGGGTGTGTGTAAAGGTAGAAAGTTGAAAGCGAACATAGAGAGTAAGGTGATGAGGGTATCAAATGATTAAGATAAAGAAAAATTGGATATCAAATTAGGGAGGAGGAGTATGGAAGAAGTGAATGTTTTCAGATACTTGGGAGTTGACGTGTCGGCGGATGGGTTTATGAAGGATGAGGTTAATCATAGAATTGATGAGGGAAAAAGGTGAATGGTGTGTTGAGGTATATGTGGAGACAAAAAACGTTATCTATGGAGGCAAAGAAGGGAATGTATGAAAGTATAATAGTACCAACACTCTTATATGGGTGTGAAGCTTGGGTTTTAAATGTAGCAGTGAGGAGGCAGTTGGAGGCAGTAGAGATGTCCTGTCTAAGGGCAATGTGTGGTGTAAATATTATGCAGAAAATTTGGAGTGTGGAAATTAGGAGAAGGTGTGGAGTTAATAAAAGTATTAGTCAGAGGGCTGAAGAGGGGTTGTTGAGGTGGTTTGGTCATTTAGAGAGAATGGATCGAAGTAGAATGACATGGAGAGCATTTAAATCTGTAAGGGAAGGAAGGCAGGGTAGGGGTCATCCTTGAAAAGGTTGGAAGGAAGGGGTAAAGGAGGTTTTGTGGGTGAGGGGCTTGGACCTCCAGCAGGCGTGCGTGAGTGTGTTCGATAGGAGTGAATGGAGACAAATGGTATTTGGGACCTGATGATCTGTTGGAGTGTGAGTGAAGGGATTCCTGGAAACCGGTTATTTTTATATAGCCAGACTTGAGTCCTGGAAATGGGAAGTACAATGCCTGCACTCTAAAGGAGGGGTTCGGGATATTGGCAGTTTGGAGGGATATGTTGTGCGTCTTTATATGTACATGCTTCTAAACTGTTGTGTTCTGAGCACCTCTGCAAAAACAATGATTATGTGTGAGTGAGGTGAAAGTGTTGAATGATGATGAAAGTATTTTCTTTTTGGGTCATCATGCCTCGGTGGGAGACAGCAGACTTGTTAAAAAAAAAAAACTTTACTGAGTATACCAGGTAAAGTGTACATCAGGGTTACTATTGAAAGAATTAGAGATAAGACAGAGTAGGATTGTGGATGAGCAAGGAGGCTTTAGAGTGGGTAGGGGATGTGTAGACCAAGTGTTTACATTGAAGCATTTATGTGAACAGTATTGAGATAAAGGTAGGGAAGTTTTCATTGCATATATGGATTTAGACAGGGCATATGATAGTTATATATTTTTATGTGTGCCTCTAAATTGTTGTATCTGGGTGCCTCTGCAAAGACAGTGAGTATGTATGAGTAAGTTGAAAGTGTTGAAGGATAATGAAAGTATTTTCTTTTTTGGGGATTTTCTTTCCTTTTGGGTCACCCTGCCTTGGTGGGAGACAGCCGACTTGTTGAAAAAACAAAAATATGATAGAGTGGATATGGGAGCAGTGTGGCAGATGTTCCAAGTGTATGGAATAGGTAGTAAGTTACTAAATACTGTGAAGAGTTTTTATGAGGATAGTGAGGCTTAGGTCATGTTATGTAGGAGAGAGGGAGATTACTTCCTGGTAAAAGTAGGTCTTAGACAGGGATATGTAATGTCACCATGATTGTTTAATATATTTATAGATGGAGTTCTCAAAGAAGTAAATGCTAGGGTGTTGGGGTGAGATAAATTATGGGAAATCAAATACAAAATGGGAGTTGACACAGTTACTTTTTGCTGATGATACTATACTTATGGGAGATTCTAAAGAAAAGTTGCAAAGGTTAGTGGAAGAGTTTGGGAGGGTGTGTAAAGGTAGAAAGTTGAGAGTGAACATAGGTAAGAGTAATGTTATGAGGGTATTAAATGATTTACATAAATAAAAATTGGATATTACATTGGAGAGAGGGAGTATGGAAGAAATGAATGTTTTCAGATATTTGGGAGTTGACTTGTCAGCAGATGGGTTTATGAAGGATGAGGTTAACCATGGAATTGATGAAGGAAAAAAGGTGAGTGGTGTGTTGAGGTATCTGTGGAGACAAAAAACGTTATCTATGGAGGCAAAGAAGGGAATGTATGAAAGTGTAGTGGTACCAACACTTACATGGGTGTGAAGCTTGGGTTGTAAATGCTTTAGCAAGGAGGCGGTTGGAGGCAGTGGAGATGTCCTGTCTAAGGGCACTGTGTGGTGTAAATATTATTCAGAGAATTCGGAGTGTGGAAATTAGGAGGTGTGGAGTTACTAAAAGTATTAGTCAGAGGGCTGAAGAGGGGTTGTTGAGGCAGTTTGGTCATTTAGAGAGAATGGATCAAAGTAAAATGACTTGGAGAGCATATAAATCTGTAGGGGAAGGAAGGAGAGGTAGGGGTTGTCCTAAAAAAAGGTTGAAGGGAGAGAGTAAAGGATGTTTTGTGGGCAAAGGGCTTGGACTTCCAGCAAGTGTGTGTGAGCGTATTAGATAGTAAATGGAGACGAATGGTTTTTGGGACTTGATGAACTGTTGGAGTGTGAGCGGGGTAATAGTGAAGGGATTCAGGGAAACTGGTTATTATAGATTTAGCTGGATTTGAGTCCTGGAAATGGGAAGTACAGCGCCTGCACTTTAAAGGAAGGGTCTGGGATATTGACAGTTTGGAGGGACTTATAAACTGTCGTATCTGAGCGCCTGTGCAAAGACAGTGATTATGTATGAGTGAGGTGAACGTGTTGAATGATGATGAAAGTATTTTCTTTTTGAGGATTTTCTTTCTTTTTGGGTCACCCTACCTCGGTGGGAGATGGCTGACTTGTTGAAAAAAAAAAAAAAGAAAATGTGCCTCATCACTCCACCTGTCTTAGCTTGTTATTTTCCGTGATTCAACTTGTCTTTCGTGCACCCACAGGTCAACATATCCACCCTCTCACTCATGCTATGCACCATTAAGTGACTCACATGGTCTTGGCACTTGGCATATAATAATAATTATAACAACACATTCATCGTTGAATTGCAAAACCAGTAGTGGTCATACTGTACCTGGGGAATGTGAGACAGTCAGGTTTGATCTAAAGAAGGGAAGGATTTATTCAATTCCTTGTATTGAGAGTACTGACACTAAGGAGAATGGTAAAGATGATGATGATGATGATGATGATGATAATAATAATAATAATAATAATAATAATAATAATAATAATAATAATAATAATAATAATAGTAGATAATCTTTTCTACTCAAACAGAAATTGGCTTTAAATTTTTTTATTCAAATTTGCTGTCACACATGTATGACATTTCCCATTGAGAGCTGTAGGTTAGCACATTCCTGTGCTTCATTTTGCTTAGGTTAGAATTTTCTTTCTGTACATACTGCAAACTGGTTTACTGTGATTGATTTATACACTAATGGCATCTCGTACCTACTAGCTTGCCTGTTGTCACAACCATGACACCTGGAAAAGTGAGACAAATCTCTGAGTAATAGAGAAAAAATAAGTTACATGTAGTACTGTACCTAACTAGATTGTAATTGTATATTCACGAGAAAGAACTAAAGCAAATGGGTCATAAAGCACTAACTTTATGGCTTAATGATACTGTTTAACTAAATGTACAATGAAATCCTCTTAATTTGAAGAACTTGAGCTACCTTACCCTTCCTCAAATGAAATATATTTATCTCTGATTTGCCAGGTGTTATACAAGCTTTGTGGGTTTGCTTTCTCATGGATATATTAACCCTTTGGCTGTTTTGGTCGTATATATACATCTTATGCGCCACTGTTTCAGACGTATTAATACGTGTAAATTCTAGCGGCTTCAAATCAGACAGGAGAAAACTGGTAGGCCTACATGTGAGAGAATGGGTCTGTGTGGTCAGTATGCACCACTTAAAGAAATCCTGCAGCACGCAGTGCATAATGAGAAAAAAAACTGACCGTTTTTTTAGATTAAAAAGCCGACTTTGAGGTGTATTTTCGTGTAGTATTCATCGTTGTATTCTTGTTTTCATGGTCTCACTTGATAAAATGGAAAACATATTACAGAAATAAAGATGATTTTGATTAGATTCATGATGAAAACGACCTTGAAATTGAGCTCAAAGTAGCGGAAATGTTCGATTTTTACCAATGTTCAGGAGTAAGCAAACCACACCACACGTCCAATACACGTCAACTGGGGAGTCTAATATTCTTTCACTAGTGCACTGATATTATTTATGCCATTTTTACAATAATGCATTAGTCTGCATAACAATAAATTTTGTATTTTTTGTATGAATAAAAAATCAAAATAGAAAGCAATAGTAATATAAGAGGGGCCTAGAGACGTGACTAATGAACAGAGGATATGTTACTTTAGTGCCAAGAATGTCTATATTGTTTATTCTGGACCCTATTTTGAAATTGGCATCTTTTTTAATTTGCATGAAATTTCCCAAATTGCCAATTTCTGGCCACTATTGGGTAGTTCAAATCGGTAAATGGGCGGTTTCTTGTACTCAACTGATAGAAAAAATGGAGTTCTAAAGAAATAGCTACGAGTTTGGTCAACTGGAACAACGGAATTGGCCAAAAACAGGGCTGAAAGTCGGCGAAATTGCCGATGCATATATGTCGCCGAGACCGCTAACTTTGTGGGAGCATAATTCCGTGAGTTTTCGACCAAATTTCGTACTTTTGGTGTCATTACCACGAGAAAAGATTCACTATCATTTCATAAGAAAAAAAATTTTTTTTTCTCCAAAAATTTTGCGACATAGAATGATAGTTTCAGAAAGGGGCTTGCAACAGTCAAAGGGTTAAGAATGCACTAATAATAACCAAGTGTATCTGCAAATAAGTTTTGTCATGGGAAACATTATTATTTATTAGTTATCTTTTCTTAACTGTTAAATTATTTTTCAGGTGGAAATTCTGACCCCACCAGAAGGTAGCCAACCAGGTGACCTTGTAGAATTTGAAGGTTATACCAGAAACCCAGATTCCGTCCTTAATCCCAAGAAGAAAATATTTGAAACCTGTGCACCTGACTTGAAAACAGATGCTAACAAAGTAGCTGTTTACAAAGGTGTTCCATTTACTGTTCCTGGTAAAGGGATTATTATTGCACAAACTCTGTCCAATGTTCAGGTAAAGTGAATTATAAGAAATTATAATTTCATTACTTTTGAGGGTCATTATCTGTACAACTGGGGAATGTTTGATTTTATTTTGAGTATAAAATTTATACTTTAAATACTGCAGCCATGGTGCAGTATTTGGAATTGTTGAAACACTAACTTCTTGTATGTTTATATTGGGGCTTGTTAAAAATAAATTTCAGTTTTACCATATGCATTTTTCTTTACTTTTGTGAAAAAACTAAATACTAGGAATTAAAGGAGTGGACATGATTTGAACTCAGGGGAAGTCATTCCTAAAATTAGCAGGCCAATGATCTAACCACTACACCATGACAGCAGTGGTGTGGATTCATAAAAGGCAAGGTTAGCATTGATTATAAAAAGTCTTTCCTTCTACAGTAAAATATTTTTTTTAGTTACCAGATATTTAAATATGATCAAGTTTCTGCACATTATAACACAAATTATGTTATTTAAAAACTAATAAAAAGGTACAGTGCTGCAACCGGAACAATATACAGATAGCCCACATACAGGAGAAAGAAACTTATAACGACATTTCAGTCTGACTTGGAACATTAACCAGTCATAAGTTGCTTTCTCTTATGTGTGGGTTATTTGTGAATCTGTTATTGATATACATATTGTGGCTAAAATTTCAAAGATGTTAGAAAATTCTTCAACCAGCTGTGAAATGTCAGAATATGCAATGCAAACAAATTTTCTTCTCTAACTTTCTGCATATTTGTAATGTATGGGTGAGTTTAAACCCCAAAACTTGTTAGATAGGAGAGTTTCCCCACTTCAAAATCTGTCGCTAGAGTACACAACATTGGATTTGCAGTGTCACCTGTGTTCTTGTAGGGTAAAATGATATACCACTGCCAAACATAACATACAAATTATTAATATAAATCCAATATTTCTAAAATCCATGTAAATAGAGTTTATATTAATATGCTGTGAAATGCATTCCGATGTTAGAATTTCCCTTCAAAATTTTTTTATTGCCAAGATGAAATTTTGCTAAAGATTTGGGCAGTGAAAACAGAGCTTGCTTCCTAGTTGTCCTTACCATATCACTATTCCCCTCACTGATCACTGCCAGTAGCACCTCAGAAATATAGAAAACAAGATTTAACTAGGTTAATAGTAGATTCACAATTTTGTGTTCATTAAAATTCTTTGTTTTTATGTTCATCATTATTCTGTGGATTTAGAAAAAAAAGTCCAGAGCTTTTTCAGTGGGTAACCCTTGAACATTGTCTGATGTACGCCATACATCAGGGAACCAAGCTGTGACGTAGGCCAATTTTTTGTGCCTTGAAATTTTCCATGAGCTGCCATTTTAGGTCTTGGCTCAACTGTCTGGGTCACCTACCTTGGAAAAAGTATATTACCAGGTGGGTCCATGCAGTGCATCATGGGAAAAACTGCCTAAAAAGCACATATAAACATTGCATCCAGGACCTGTCTTATCACCAACAACTTCTCTCCAGAAAATAGGATGTGAAACTGGAGGGAAGATACCTTATTTGTTTCAAATTGATTACACTTTCATGATACTAATAATAGAATAAGTTAAAAAGCACAAGACAGTATGTAATTTACTCATGATAATCCAGTAGTCAAATAGTGTGACTTCCATGTTCTGAGGACTATCACACCTTGAAAGGGCAGGAAAAAGTCTTATTTGTTTCAAATTTATTATATCATGATCCTAACTGTGGAATTCAGCCAAAAAATAAAGCACACTGAAGAATTATTCTATAACCCAATAATTGTTTCAGTTTGAAAAAATTATATCATAACATTTCCTTCTACATAGTATTAAATGACAACAGTCTATTAATAGAGATAAAAAATTATTTATATAAATTTATATTGCACATTGCTTCTCAGGATAAGGCTTGCCATGTTTCTACATATATTTCAGATACTATAACTTCAAACACTGTACATTACAAAGTAATGTACATTACCCTTGAACATTAGAAATACATGTACAAAAAAAAAAAAAAAGGTCACCGGGTACACCTTTTGGAAGTGGTGAAGGACAATCAGATCATTTAAGGAAGGGGAAGGACACTCAGACTACATCTGAGGAAGGGAAGGGACAATCAGACTCCATTTGAGGAAAGGGAGGGACAGTCAGACTACATCTGAGGAATGGGAGGGGTAGCTCCAATTCTTTAGATCAAGAACCCTTCATTATATTATAGGTAAGGCTTTTTGTTGAAGCATGGAACTTTAGTAATATGTTCCAGACTTTTTTTTGAACACATTATGTCTGTGGAGCTTTCAATACATCACTTATTATTGGTATGAAAGTACATAATTTAATTATGTAAAGAGAAAAATCACATGAGCATGTAGAACTAAACAAGTGTTCCATGTAGTGTATTTTAGTTTTAAAACATTTTAGGTTTAAAAAGTTTTAAGATAAATGATAAATTTCTTCTTTCTTTCAACACACCGGCCGTATCCCACCGAGGCGGGGTGGCCCAAAAGGAAAAATGAAAGTTTCTCCTTTTACATTTAGTAATATATACAGGAGAAGGGGTTACTAGCTCCTTGCTCCCAGCATTTTAGTCGCCTCTTACAACACACATGGCTTACGGAGGAAGAATAAATGATAAATATATAGTTAATATACATGGCCACCATTCTAACCTTAAAACAAAAATGACACAAAAAGATAAACTTTATACAATTATTATTTTATTAAAATAGTGTAAAACCTATATTGATTTTATAAATAAAAATTTTCATCTTGAAAAATAAACAGGGTGTTCCAGTCTTCATTTTAAATAAAAACACAGGTATCTTTTTGTTGCACAATTAGTATAAGTAATACATTACCTTATAAAGTCTTGTTTAAACACAAGTTTCAGTATCAGTATTGGACTACACTAAATACTGAGATTGTCATGTTAAAAAGAAAAAAGTTTAGCGAAAGTAACTACAACACTTTACAACCATGTAATTACATGGCTGTAAAGTTGGCCCCTGTATCCGTGGGGGTTGTGTTCCAAGGACCTGCCGCAGATACCGAAACCACAGATAGTAGTGAACCCTATACAGTGGAACCTCAGTTTTCGTTTGCCCTGGTATTCATCGAATTCGGTTTTTGACGACTTTTCGTCAAAATATTGTCCCAGTTTTTGTTCATCACCTTGGTTTTCATCCACTGTACTGAACGTGTCTGTCTGCCCACGCCCACTAAAAGCATCCCATGCACGCATTCTGAGTCAGTCTGGTTTTGTTTCTCGTCGAGCGAACATTACCCTGCACATTCATACAAAACATTTCGTAATAATCCATTTTTTGTGCTTGTTTATTGAGTGCGACTGCTAAATAAGCCACCATGGTAGAGGATGGTAGTGATGGTAGTAGAGGGTGGTAGTGATGGTGGTAGAAGGTGGTAGTGATGGTGTAGAGGGTGGTAGTGATGGTGGTAGAGGGTGGTAGTGATAGTAGTAGAGGGTGGTAGTGATGGTGGTAGAAGGTTGTAGTGATGGTGTAGAGGGTGGTAGTGATGGTGGTAGAGGGTGGTAGTGATGGTAGTAGAGGGTGGTAGTGATGGTAGTAGAGGGTGGTAGTGATGGTAGTAGAGGGTGGTAGTGATGATGGTAGAAGGTTGTAGTGATGGTGGTAGAGGGTGGTAGTGATGGTGGTAGAGGGTGGTAGAGATAATGGTAGAGGGTGGTAGTGATGGTGGTAGAGGGTGGTAGAAGGTGGTAGAGGGTGGTAGTGATGGTGGTAGAGGGTGGTAGTGGTTGTGATAGTGGCAGAGATAACCTCTCCTCCTCCCTCTCCTGTCCTCACCATCTTACATACACCAACAAGAGTCTACAATAAAGGTAAAAGTGATGTTAAATGTTCATTTATACATTTCATTAGTCATTTATATTTATTTCTCATTGTTTTCTGTATGTAAAACTATTAGTTATTCTCTATAAAATATATTTTTTGTTAATATTTTTGGGTGTCTGGAACAGATTAATTGGATTTACATTATTTCTTATGGGAAATATTGCTTCAGTTTTCGTTGAATTTGGTTTTCGTCAGACTCTCTGGAATGAATTAAAGATGAAAACCAAGGTTCCACTGTATGTAAGTGGTTTTTCATTTACATACATACCTTTTATAAAGATTAATTGATAAATTACACTTCAATTAAGTCAAGAATTAGCACTTTTTCACTGATAGGAAGCAGTTCACAGCTTCTCTTAGGCTTTGAAGAACTACTACCATCACTACTTTTGCACTTTGAAGTTATTATTAAGCAAAATTAAGGGTTATTTTCAGGCCACTATAAACCATGGATAACTGAAACTATGGATACTGGACCCGCAGATACTGGGGTTCTGCTGTATTATAATCTGGAGGAAGCAGTAATCCCACAGGGGTAATAAACCTCATGGGGGATGGGAGGCAATCAGGTTTGATTCAAGGAAGGAAGGGCAAGTCCATTTCCATGGTTCAATAATGCCTCACTGGCTTCTAGACGTTGTCACTGAAGGGGTCAACTTATATGTAATACAGACTCTCCTCACTTAACGACAATTCCGTTCCCAAGACCATATAGGTAAACGAATTCGTCGCTAAGCAAGGAGCATGCTATAATGGTAGTGGATTTGTATCAACAATCTTTGATGTTTTAATGTCAACCCTGCACCATTTAAGACATTTTTAGTATGTTCTTAAATGTTTATACAGTAGTTTACTGTAATATTTTGTAATAGAATAGAGGAAATCAACTCTAATATACATTATTTAGGTATACATACTGGTTATAATGTCTGCACTCTGAAGGAGGGGTGTTAATGTTGCAGTTTAAAAACTGTAGTGTAAAGCACCCTTCTGGCAAGACAGTGATGGAGTGAATGATGGTGAAAGTTTTTCTTTTTCGGGCCACCCTGCCTTGGTGGGAATCGGCCAGTGTGTTAATAATAATAAAAATAAAACATACTGGTTAGAGAGCCTGTTGTAAGTCCGAGTCGTTGGTAAACGAGTATGTCGCTAAGTGAGGAATTTTGTACTGTCTGAAAACCAAGTCTGAATCAGTAATTGGAAATAACAAAGCTGTATGTACAATAAAACATGAAAGGCATTATGTAGTAGAAGGACCACCATGGCCAGAATCCAGGTTAGGGGATAAATTAATATCTAAATGTTTGTCTTCCTGTGCAGATGATGTCATCTGCATTTGCAAGATAAGCACAAAGCCCCATAACAAAATATGGTAACTTTTTGCAAGATAAGCACAGAGCCCCATAACAGAGTACTTGAGCTTCATAGCTGTATGACTGCCTTACTGGAAATTATCCAAATTCACTAAATCTAGCTCCAATTAATCCTTCAGAAGTCTCACTTATAATTAAGCCACTGAAAAACAAGACATGAAGCCTAAATAATTTGCTGCCACTAATATACAAAAATGCAGCTCATACTGTCACACGCTATAACAACTCTGTTTAACAAATCATAAAATCTTCAACTTAACTTACCATTACTGTGTAAAATGTTCAAAAAAATAATCCACAAGTGAGTTTACTCCTACCTAGTATCTCACAATATACTCAACCCCTGCTCCCCTCAAGGAAGGTTCCTTGATGTTGGTGAGGGGCTCTTGATTTAGGGAATTGGATCTGTGCTCCAGTTCCCCGAATTAAGCCTGAATGCCTTCCACATCCCCCCCCCAGGCGCTGTATAATCCTCCAGGTTTAGCGCTTCCCCCTTGATTATAATAATAATAATCAACCCCTGCTAGTTGGTTTTAGGCTGAAAAAAGTACAAACGATGCAATTGTTCAAATGCCTGAACTACTTAATGCATCCCTTGAAAAAAATTAATATCTTATGAGATTCTTCAAAGAGCCTGCGGGAAGCATTCGATACAGTGGACCGCAATATCCTGCACCTTAACCCTTAAACGGTCCAAACAGATCGACGTTCAGATTCGTAGTGCTACAAAAGTAGATATACTTTTTTTTACATATTTTCAAATATAACAAAAAAAAAAATGTAGATAAATGTTTTTTTACACGTTTTCACATGTAAAACAAAAAAAAATCTACAATTTTTTACATACTTTCAGATGTTGAAAAAACGTATATGTATATACATTTGGACCATTTAAGGGTTAAACTAGAACATGGGGTCAGAGGATATACCCTCACAAAAGACTTAAAAAAAAGTAGAAGCTCATGGTATAGGAGGTAAAGTTCTAGCATGGGTAGAGGCATGGCTTACCAACAGAAAGCTGAGAGTTTCCATTAATGGGGTCAAATCTGAATGGGGACTGGTCACTAGTGGAGTTCTACAATGATCAGTTTTAGGCCCATTGTTTTTCATAATTTACATTAATGACCTTGATGAGGGAATTACAAGTGATATGAACAATTTGCTGATGATACAAAAATAGGCCATATGATTCATTCTGAGGAGGATACCAGTGAACTCCAGGAGGATTTGGACAAATTAATGTCTTGGTCTGAAAAGTGGCAGATGAAGTTCAATGTAGACAAGTGTAAAGTCCTAGTCCTTGGGAATGAAAATAACCCTCAAAATTATAAACTAGGTGAAATAGAGCTTGATCATACAGAATGTGAAAAAGACTTGGGAGTCATGGTAAGCAGAAATATAAAGCCAATACAGCAGTGCCTAAGTTTGTGCAATAAGGATTTATTTCATTCAGCATAGAATGACTAAATTAATACATAGCATTAGAAATCTTCCTTATGAAGAAAGATTGAAGACCCTTAAATTACATTCACTTGTTAGATGAAGAATGAGGGGAGACATAAAAGTAGTGTATAAGTGGAAGATGGGTATTAATAAAGGGGACAATAAGGTCTTGAGGATATCTCTCCAAGAGAGAACCCGCAGTAATGGATTTAAATTAGACAAGTTTAGATTTAGAAAGGATGTAGGAAAGTATTGGTTTGAAAATAGGGTAGTTGATGAGTGGAACAGTCTACCTAGTTGGGTTATTGAGGCTATAGGTTTATAGAACAAAAGCTAGAGATAAGATAGGTCCCCTTAAAAATAACTGTGGGCATCTCACTGACAAGGAGAATTTCTAATGCTATGTATTAATTTAGTCATTCTATGCTGAATGAAATGTGCTCTATTCTTAATAATTATTTTCTCTCGGTTTTCACTCAGGAAGACACTAACAATATCCCAGTAATTAATTTTCATAGTGGGCCTGATGATGATAGATTATGCATTATCACAGTCACTACTGAACTGGTTATCAAACAGATAGACCGGTTAAAGCAAAATAATCCCCGGGCCCTGATGAACTTTTTTCAAGGGTTCTTAAAGAGTGTAAAATGGAATTCGTCGTACTAGTACGTCTTACGCGTAGGGGTTTTTGACGTACTAGTACGTATAAATTCTAGCGGCCTCAAATCTAGTGGGAGAAAGCTGGTAGGCCTTCATATGAAAGAATGGGTCTACGTGGTCAGTGTGCACAGTCTAAAAAAAATCCTGCAGCACACAGTGCATAATGAGAAAAAAAAAACTTTGACCATTTTTTTGGAATAAATCAGCGACTTTGCAGTGTATTTTCGTATGGTATTTATTGTTGTATTCTAGTTTTCTTGGTCTCATTTTATAGAATGGAAGACATATTACAGAAATTGAGATGATTTTGGCTGGTTTTACAATGAAAGGTGCCTTGAAATTGAGCTCAAAGTAGCAGAAATGTTCAATTTTTACCAAACTTCAAAAGTAAACAAATCGTGCCAAGCGTGCAATACACGTCAACTGGTGAGTCTAATATTCTTTCACAAGTGCACCAATAATATTTATGCCATTTTTTACACTAATGCAGTAGTCTGCATAACAGTAAATCTTATATTTTTTGTGAGAATAAAAATTCAAAATGGAAAGCAAAAGAATATAAGAGGGGCCTTGAGACGTGACTAATGACTAGAGGAAATGTCATTTTAGTGCCAGGAATGTCTTTCTTGTTTATTCTGGACCCTATTCGGAAATTGGCATCTTTTGAAATTTGTGTGAAATTGGCAAAATTGCTAAATTCTGACCACTGTACTGGATAGTTGAATTTCATAAATGGGTGGTTTCTTGCACCCATTCGATAGAAAAAATGGAGTTCTAGCGAAATATTCATGTTTTTTTGTCGACTAGTACAGCGAAATTGGCCGAAAATGGGGCTCAAAGTGGGCAAAATCGCCGATGCATAAACATCGCCGAGACCGCTAACTTTGCGAGAGCATAATTTCGTAAGTTTTCTATCAAATTTCAAACTTTTGGTGTCTTTATGATCGGGAAAAGATTCTCTATCTTTTCATGAGAGAAAATAATTTTTTTTTTTTTTTAAATTTGGCCGACCCTGAGAACGAGTTTCGGAGAGGGCCTGTCGACCCTCAAAGGGTTAAGCAGTAATATATCACGACAATACACTACAGTTACATATTCACTTTTATTCTGTAAGATCTGGTGGTCTAAAAAAATGTTTGGCTTTTTGGGGGCTCCCAGGAACGTAGCCCTATTTTTCCCATAAATTCTTCAGTTTGTCTAATACGGTTTTGTCTAACATGGTGTTTTCAGGAATGTAACTACCTTGTTAAACGACAGTCTACTGTACCAAAAATTCTCAGTTCTGGAGCTTCTGGTTGGTTGGTTAATGTGAATGTGATTTACAACCTATTAACTATATGAGGGCCATTTAGATTGCATGTCATCTGTTCACCAAGAATGATTTATGCCCTAAAAATAAGGATTAAAGTAAACTGATTACCTCAGACTCTCCATCTTCCACCTTGATAATGGGTTGGGCGAATATATTTGTTAGTGGGTTTGGATTTGACAGGGACCTGCCAGATATGTGCCAGTAGGCCTGCTGCAGTGTTCCCCCTTTCTTATGTTTTTAGACCCAAAGCTTTTAGATTTCACTTTTGTATTAAATCTGTAGATCTTACAAAAATTACCATTAATGTAAGCTGATAAAGAGGTTTCTTACAAGGTTTTCATGAGTAGACATTAACTGCTGTTCAGTACAGTCCTCTCTTTTCATTCACTAAGATTACTGGTTTCTCATTTTTTTTTTGTAATCTTGGTTATTTTTTTTCCTCTTTTTGGGGGGTAGATTCTCGTGTGTGTTACATTTTTCTTCCTCAGTTTGTGATCTTAGTCGTCTTTTATTTTCTTTCTCCTTGCTTCGTAATGTGTAGTTCAAAGTATCTACTGTATCTGTTAAATTATGGCAAGATTTAATTCTTTTATTTGAATTTTGCTGCAGAGACTTTGAGACAAAGTCTTTAGAATGCAACTTTGATACCTTTGTTAGTTGTTTAGTTTCTGTTTTGTTGGGTTTATTAATGGATTGCCATTGTGACTCTTCCACTATGCACCTAGATAAATTCACAGTAAGCTTTTTCAGTTTTCTCAGTGCCTCTGTTTTGTTAGGTTTATTAATGGATTTCCCTTGTGACTCTTCTACTATGCACCTAGATAAATTCACAGTAAGCTTTTTCATTTTTCTCAATGCCTCTGTTTTGTTGGGTTTATTAATGGATTTCCCTTGCGACTCTTTCACTATGCACCTAGATAAATTCACAGTAAGTTTTTTCATTTTTCTCAATACCTCCTCTAGTTCACTTATACTTTTATTGTTATTTACATATTCAATTAATTTATCTTTCAAAGTGGAATTTTTAAGTAACGAATCTTGGACATATTTGTATCTCTGAGTACTGTTATTAATGTTTTTGTGGTCTTTAATTAATGGAACGTTTTCCCCAAAAGTTATTACTCGTATTTTCACTGCCTTCCTTACGTTAAGATCTTTTAACACATTCTCACACTTATTAATGTTGCCAGATTGAAGGTCATTTCCAATGTGACTGCCAGCAAACTGTTCTACTAAAGGAATGTATGTAGTTTTTGGGTGACTATAAGCATTCACTCTCATATTTTTAGTTGAGCACTTGATTTCAGAAACCTCTCCAGCTGTGGTTTCAATTTCAGAATTTTCAGCTGTGGTTTCAATTTCAGAATTTTCAGCTGTGGTTTCAATTTCAGAATTTTCAGCTGTGATTTCAATTTTAGAATTTTCAGCTGTGGCTTCAGTTTCCAAATTTTCAGCTGTGGTTTCAGTTTCAGAATTTTCAGCTGTGGTTTCAGTTTCAGAATTTTCAATTGTGGTTTCAATTTCAGAATTTTCAGCTGTGGTTTCAATTTCAGAATTTTTAGCTGTGGTTTCAATTTCAGAATTTTCAACTGTGGTTTCAATTTCAGAATTTTGAACTGTGGTTTCAATTTCAGAATTTTCAGCTGTGGTTTCAATTTCAGAATTTTCAGCCGTGGTTTCAATTTCAGAATTTTCAGCTATGGTTTCAATTTCAGAATTTTCAGCTGTGGTTTCAATTTCAGAATTTTCAGCTGTGATTTCAGTTTTAGAATTTTCAGCTGTGGTTTCAGTTTCAGAATTTTCAGCTGAGGTTTCAGTTTCAGAATTTTCAGCTGTGGTTTCAATTTCAGAATTTTCAGCTGTAATTTCAATTTCAGAATTTTCAGCTGTGGTTTCAATTTCAGAATTTTCAACTGTGGTTTCAATTTCAAAATTTTCAGCTGTGGTTTCAATTTCAGAATTTTCAACTGTAGTTTCAATTTCAGAATTTTCAGCTGTGGTTTCAATTTCAGAATTTTCAGCTATGGTTTCAATTTCAGAATTTTCAGCTGTGGTTTCAATTTCAGAATTTTCAGCTGTGGTTTCAATTTCAGAATTTTCAGCTGTGACTTCAATTTTAGAATTTTCAGCTGTGGTTTCAGTTTCAGAATTTTCAGCTGTGGTTTCAGTTTCAGAATTTTCAGCTGTAATTTCAATTTCAGAATTTTCAGCTGTGGTTTCAATTTCAGAATTTTCAGCTGTGGTTTCAATTTCAGAATTTTCAGCTATGGTTTCAATTTCAGAATTTTCAGCTGTGGTTTCAATTTCAGAATTTTCAGCTGTGGTTTCAATTTCAGAATTTTCAGCTGTGACTTCAGTTTTAGAATTTTCAGCTGTGGTTTCAGTTTCAGAATTTTCAGCTGTGGTTTCAGTTTCAGAATTTTCAGCTGTAATTTCAATTTCAGAATTTTCAGCTGTGGTTTCAATTTCAGAATTATCAACTGTGGTTTCAATTTCAAAATTTTCAGCTGTGGTTTCAATTTCTGAGCTCTCAGCTGTGGTTCCAATTTCCGACTCTTCAAGTGCGGGTCTGACCCAAGATATATCTTGTCTCCCTTCTCTTTGCACTACATCAGTGGCAAGGCAATTATTCTTTCTTGGGAAGTAATTTGTGAGAGGTTTTAGGATGTATGCTATCACTGGAACACTCCATGACTTACCCAGGAGAGCTAGTCTTTCTCTACTGGAGAGGTTGCCAACATCTGTAAAATGCAGGGGGAACCCAAATATCTGGTGGAAAAGCAAAAAGATAAAGACTAAGTTACTCTCAAACTTTAATAGAAATATATTTAAAAAATGTTAGATTTGTCTAGGACAATTCTTACAGAAATACTATTACAAAACATCCTATGGTGACTAAAGAAAAAAAATATTAACATTATAAACTTCTTAGTTAACATAAAAACATAAAAGTTACTGCCTGCACATATAAATTTTTTAACTAGATATTTCAATCATAACACAGAGAAGCAAGTTGGTTATTAAAATTTATTCCAACCCTCAATTCCTGAAATATTTTGTGAAAGAAACTATATTAGTAGGAATCAGTTTTCAGATAGAAGTGTTTCTTTTATCATTCATTATGACTCGCGAAATCATAATAACAAATGCAAACAAATCACAGAAAGATAACACAAATGCAAACAAATCACAGAAAGGGTGGGGTTCAAATCCATGGTAGGTAACTTCTCAAACTTCCAGGCCAGTGTGCTAACTGCTGACCTGGGAGTTACAGGGCTCCCCTGCTATGGGATTGAATCCAATCCACTCTGCAATCTGATTTACCTCCTCTTTATTTTTTTTACAGTGAAGAAATGAATATGAGTTAATGTAGTATGCAAATAAGTTGCAAGAGTTACTCAAAAGAGTGGTTAGGTACTGTACACTGAGCATAAGTTTGCAGTAATTTCAAGGTTTTACTTTCAAGTTGTACTTCCTACCGTATACAGTGCCCCTTGACTTATGTTGGTTCGACTTAAAATATTTTGACTTTATGATTGTGCAAAAGCAATTACCTTTGAGATGAAACTTAAGATAATTATCCAGCAAGAAGGCAGTAAGTCTGTAACATGTATTCATTTATTTACTTTTCAATACTAGTGTATTTAGCAAGTTATGGTAATTATATGTTTATTTACTTATTCAGTAACAGTAGTTATTTACAGTGGAACCTCACTATAGTTTGTATGTAAAACTATAGTTATTCTCTATAAAATGTATTTTTGGTTAACATTTTTGGGTGTCTGGAATGGATTAATTGGATTTACATTATTTCTTATGGGAAATATTAACAAAAAATACATTTTATAGAGAATAACTATAGTTTTACATACAAACTAGGGCATATGAAAACCAAGGTTCCACTATATTTTTTATTTATCATATCATATTCATATTCTACTTGAAATATTTTCATCTTACAATGAGTTCATTGGAAAGTAACCCCATCATAAGTTGAGGAGCACCTGTACTATTTGTATTTATAGTTATGTAAATGCCAGAAAGCTAGAAAATGGGGTCAAGTTCTGGGACACCGTCTTCTATAGCACAAAACTTCATAATGTATACAAACTTCAGTTGTTCTTAAGCTAGCAATATGAAGGAAATACAGTAACAGTATTTGCTAAGTGGTCAAATAATAACATATTAAACATAATATTTGTACTCTTGTATATATGTGTAAGTGTATTCACCTGTGTGTGGTTGCAAGAGTCAAATCACAGCTCTCTGTGTGTGCATGTGTGCATTCAAGTTTGCAACAAGTCCCTGAGCTAAGGGGTATGTTCTATGAGGAGAGGTTAAGGGAACTCAACCTGATGACACTGGAGGACAGGAGGGATAAGGAAGATATGATAACAAATAAAATACTGAGAGGAACTGACAAGGTGGATAGGGCCAAAATGTTTCAGAGATGGGACACAGGAACAAGAGGACACAACTGGAAGTTGAAAATTCAGGTAAGTTATAGGGATGTTAGGAAGTATTTCTTCAGCATTTGAGCTGTCAAGAAATGGAACAATCTGGAGAGTGCAGTAGCGGAGGCAAGATCCATACATAGCATTAACAAGTATAATAAGCCTCTTGGAACAGGGAGAGAGTGGACGTAGTAGCAACCAGTGAAGTCAGGGCCAGGAGCTGTTAATTAACCCCTACAACCACTTATTGGTGAGTACAATCACTATATAACATTGATGAAGATATATAATATAAAATACCAACATAATGGAAACAAAGACAAATGCAGTGTAATGAGATCTTTTACTGTCAGTGTTTCATCCAGTCTATTGGTTTATTAAGGTCACCTGAAAAAGCTCACTGCATGGACAAAACATTGTCAATAAAGAATCTCATTACACTGTATTTGTGTGTGTGTTTCCATTGCATAACATAGTTTAACAATGATATCTCAAATGTTAATTTAAATTAATGATAAATACACTTTTGTTTTTACTTATATTATGCAATTTTCTTATAAGAGTAACTGCAGTGTGTAAAATATTGTACTCATAAAATACTAAGAGTTTGTAAAATATTAATTGGTTACACAAATATAAGTCCAAATGTAAGTTGCAAAGGTTAGTGGACAAGTTTGGGAGGGTGTGTAAAGGTAGAAAGTTGAAAGTGAATATAGATAAGAGTAAGGTGATGAGGGTATCAAATGATCTAGATAAAGAAAAATTGGATATCACAGTGGAGAGAGGGAGTATGGAAGAAGTGAATGTTTTCAGATATTTGGGAGTTGATGTGTCAGTGGATGGGTTTATGAAGGATGAGGTTAACCGTAGAATTGATGAAGGAAAAAAAGTGAGTGGTGCGTTGAGGTATCTGTGGAGACAAAAAATGTTATCTCTGGAGGCAAAGAAGGGAATGTACAAAAGTATAGTGGTACCAACACTCTTATATGGGTGTGAAGCTTGGGATGTAAATGCTGCAGCGAGGAGGTGGTTGGAGGCAGTGGAGATGTCCTGTCTAAGGGCAATGTGTGGTGTAAATATTATTATGCAGAGAATTCAGAGTGTGGACATTAGGAGAAGGTGTGGAGTTAATAAAAGTATTAGTCAAGAGGGCTGAAGAGGGGTTCTTAAGGTGGTTTGGTCATTTAGAGAGAATGGATCAAAGTAGAATGACATGGAGAGCATATAAATCTGTAGGGGAAGGAAGGCGAGGTAGGGGTCGTCCTTGAAAAGGTTGGAGGGAGGGGGTAAAAGAGGTTTTGTGGGCGAGGGACTTGGACTTCCAGCAAGTGTGCGTGAGCGTGTTAGATAGGAGTGAATGGAGACAAATTGTTTTTGGGACCTGATGAGCTCTTGGAGTGTGAGCAGGGTAATATTTAGTGAAGGGATTCTGGGAAACTGATTATTTTTATATAGCCGGACGTGAGTACTGGAAATGGGAAGTACAATGCCTGCACTTTAACCCTTTGACTGTTTTGGTCGTATATATACGTCTTACGAGCCAGTGTTTTGGACATATATACATGTATACTCAATAATTCTAGCGGCTTCAAATCAAGCAGGAGAAAGCTGGTAGGCCCACATGTGAGAGAATGGGTCTGTGTGGTCAGTGTGCACCACATAAAAAAAATCCTGCGGCACGCAGTGCATAATAAGAAAAAATTTTTTTGGGGGGGGGGATTAAAATGCCGACTTTGAGGTGTATTTTCGTATAGTATTTATTGTTGTATTCTCGTTTTCATGGTCTCACGTGATAAAATGGAAAACATATTACAGAAATAGAGATGACTTTGATTAGTTTCACGATGAAAGCGACCTTGAAATTGAGCTCAAAGTAGCGGAACTGTTTGATTTTTAGCAATGTTCAGGAGTAAGCAAACCACACCACACGTCCAATACACGTCAACTGGGGAATTTAATATTCTTTCACTAGTGCACTGATATTATTTATACCATTTTTACAATAATGCAGTAGTCTGCATAACAGTAAATTTTGTATTTTTTGTATGAATATAAAAAGCAATAGTAATATAAGAGGGGCCTAGAGACATGACTAATGAACAGAGGATATGTTATTTTCGTGCCAATAATGTCTACATTGTTTATTCTGGACCCTATTTTGAAATTGGCATCTTTTTTAATTTGCATGAAATTGGCCAAATTGCCAATTTCTAACCACTTATTGGGTAGTTCAAATCAGTAAATGGGCGGTTACTTGTACTCAACTGATAGAAAAAATGGAGTTCTAAAGAAATAGCTATGAGTTTGGTCAATTGGAACAACAGAATTGGCCAAAAACAGGGTTCAAAGTCTGAGAAATCGCTGATGCGTATATGTTGCCGAGACCGCTAACTTTGTGGGAGCGTAATTCCACGAGTTTTCAACCAAATTTCGTACGTTTGGTGTCATTACCATCAGAAAAAGATTCTGTATCATTTCATAAGAAAAAATATTTTTTTTTTTTCCAAAAATTTTGCGACATATACGTGTAATGACAGTTTCAGAAAGGGGCTTGCGACAGTCAAAAGGTTAAAGGAGGGGTTTGGGATATTGGCAGTTTGGAGTGATATGTTATATATCTTTATGTATGCTTCTAATCTGTTGTATATGGGTGCCTCTGCAAAGACAGTGATTATGTATGAGTGAGGTGAAAGGTGTTGAATGATGATGAAAGTATTTTCTTTTTGGGGACTCTCTTTTTTTTTTTGGGTCACCCTGCCTCAGTAGGAGATGGCCGATTTGTTGAAAAAAAAAACCTACGTTAAAAATTTAAATTTTGCCGAGAGGATAACACTTACAATTTATTACTGTATTTATCATTGTATTTATTTTTATTCTGGTTAGCCGGACTTGAGTCCTGGAAATGGGAAGTACAATGCCTGCACTGTAAAGGAGGAGTTTGGGATATTGGCAGTTTGGAAGTTGACTTTTAAACTGTCGCCTATACAAAGACAGTGATTATGTACGAGTGTGGTGAAAGTGATGAATGATGATGCAAGTATTTTCATTTTGGGGAGGGTCACCCTGCCTTGGTAGGAGACAACCAACATCTTGAAAAAAATAATATAAAAAAAAAAAGTCACATTCAATACTGTGTAAAATAACCAGGAAAAAATAGTGAAAGTGCTGGAATTTCACTATAATTTTCACTGTGGTTATTTTATTTATTTTGATGTCACCTGTTTACTGTGATCTTACTGTATTAATATTGTATATAGTTAAGTAGTAGAAGCAAAATGTGTTTGTTAAATGCTATAAACATCTGCCACATTGCCC